GTAGTTCTCTGAAGACAAGCACATGCCACTTTCCTCTTAGCACCCAAGAAAACGCCGTGCAGACGAAAAGGCCCATGCCACTCCCCTAATGGCAGAAACGGTACCAGGCCTTTCAGAGATGGACAGCTAATTCAACCAGCTCTGTGTGGGCCTAATTAGGCGCTTAAGAGGGAAGAGGAAATGAATGCTGATTGAAGAACTGGTAGGGGAGCCCTCCATTACCGCGGGTGGAATGGAAATGATACAGCCACTTTGGAAAGTAGTTGGGCAGTTTCTTAAAAAGTTAAACCTTCACTTACCGTATGACCCAGGAATTCTACTCCTAAATACCCACCCAAGAGGAAAGAAAGCATGCGTTCACACAAAGGACATGCATGTTCGTAGCAGCATTATTCGTAATAGCCCCAAACTGGATCCACCTAAATGTCCAGCAAGGTGAAGGGGTAAAAAACGGTGACACCTCCATACAATGGAATACTACTCGGCAATGAAAAGGAACTGACTACCGACACAGAGGTCAACACGGCTGAATCTTAAAAATGTTAGGCTGAGTGAAAGAAGCCTAACACTAAAGAGTACATGTTATATGATTGCCATTGTATGAACTCTTTAGCAAAGGAAAAACTATAGAGACAAAAAGCAGATCAGTGGTGGCCTGGGGCTGGGGGCAGGGGCAGGAGTCGATGACAAATGGGCTGAAGTGGAAGTGAGGAACTTTTGTTTGAGTCCTGGCTCTACCATTGCCTAGCTGTGTGCCTGTGGATAAGTGAATAACCTCTCTGTGCCTCTGTTTCCTTGGTTACAACAACAATAATAATAGCAATGGTAAGAGCTAGTTTATGAGACTGGCTCTGTGTCAGGCCTATATCGTATGCACTGTCACATGTAATCCTCACCCAACAGCTCATTTTACAGGTGAGGGAACTAAGTTAAGGCCTTCAGCTAGGGTTGAATTCTGACCCCCATGGCTTCTCCAGTCAACCTTGTCTGTCCCACAACCTGGTGTGTACTCTGGCTACCCAGCTCTATGTGGTCCCCACCTTATAATTGCTGTGATAACCCCACACTTCCCAACTATAGGAGAGCCCATTAGCCTGGGGGCTCCCAGCTGTTTCATCTGTCACCTGCTGCTGTGACCCATCCATCCATTCTTAGTCCCTGGGGATTTGGCCTTGACTTCCTGTCCAGGCCAGAAGAGTGACATGCCACTCAGTCCCTGCTTCTATAGGGAACACCCATGTTTGTTCTGTGCTAAGAACGTGGCTCAGTGCAGACCAGGAAGATCAAAAAATATCATTGTTAGGGGCCGGCCGAGTGGCGCGTTGGTTAAGAGCTGGCTTGGGACGCCAGAGGGTTCCGATTCGGATCCCACATGAGGGCCAGTGACACTGCCCTCTACAGCTAAGATGCTGAACAACAGCTCAACCTGGAGCTGGGCTGCCGTGAGTCACCAGCGACGGTGTAGGCTGCAGCCCCTGCTGCAGTGGGTTGCCATGGGCTGCCGTGTGTAGCCAGCAGCCAGCATGAGCGGCCAGCAGCCGCCGTGATCGGCCGTCCAGAAGCCGGCGACTGATCTGCCTCACCTGGGAAGAGCGCAATGATGGTGCCAACTTGGGCCAGTGAAGCAACGTCCTCCACAACTAGACTGAAGAACAAAAGAACAGCAACTTGTCTGTCTCCCTCCCCGCGATTCCCCAGTGCTGTTCCCATCTCCCAATTCCCCAATAAAAATCTTTAAAAAAAAAAAAAGAAAATATCATTGTTAGGAGGTCCCTTCAGAAGCCGCCGGTTCTAACAGTGACCCAAGGAGGTGTCTCAAGGGCAGGCAAAGGGGGCCTGCACTCCTTCCTCTTCAGCCAGAGCAGCCCCGTATTTTATATCTGTTTCAGATACTGTGCCTCCACAGAAGATTTCTAAAGAAAGGGCTGTGACACGTCTTAAAAAGTTTGAAAGCTGCTGTTCTCTGCCAATGCTCAGCTTCCCGGGTATAGAAGCTGAGGGCTTGAGGACAGAGCTAACTTGCTGAGGGTCGCAGAGGTCATGATTGACAGGCAGGCACAGGAGGGGCAGCGGGTCCCTGGAATCCAAGCTGGAGAGCTCTTTCCATCACCTCCGCAACAGCCCAATGGGAAAACGGTGCTTCTGCCTCATACACTTCTGTGTCATTCTTGAGGGTCCTTTAGCTATAGGCTAGAGAAATCTGGAAGCACGACAACTCTCCCGGGGTTTTCCATCTCTTTCCTCTCACTTCACACATCTCTGAGGCAACTACCAATTTGGCTGTCTTGACACATGACGACAGATGCTCCCCAGGCTAGCTGCCTACACCAGCCTGTGACTGCAGCAGGTGTAAATCAAATAGAGGAAATTCTTGATAATTGGACGACAAGGGAGATGGGGAACAACTTTCCTCACTACGGAGAGAAAAACACTTATCTGTAATGTTGACTCCCCTAAAGTGAAATCAAGTTGCACACGGACAAAATGAAATGATACGAACTTTTTAAAAAGCACATTTATCTCAGAGAGTAAATGAACCTTTGGTGTTTCACTGTTATGAGTGCTCCAATTACTAGAGTAGCACCATTATATACTCTCTGTTCCTCTCGGAATAATATTATAACTTTGTACTCAGTCTGCTCCTTCAAAGATAAAGGGATATAATCCGATATAAGTCTTAATTTATAAGGGGCAAACCTCTTTCTCCTATTAGGGCTTGTCAGTGTGATGCTAAAAACGGTCCTTTGGTTGACTTGTGAGTAATTGATTCTCTGACGCTGACAATGCTTAGGAAAATGAAGGTATAAATGATGGGTGTGCCACACAGCCACTGGAGCAAACGCTGAGCCTAAGGTCTGTGGAACTGGAGCAGCGCTGCACAGCAGAGGGAGGTCTTTCTGCCACATCGCAGGTGAGAGACGGGGGTGGTCCTGGGGGCTGGGCTGGATGGGACCAAGAAAGTTGACCGTCTCATCAACTCAGAGACACCAAGTCAAAGAGGCCTACCACCATCCTCTTTGCTGGTAAGTACATTTAGGTCCCTTGTCAGGGGCCCTGAAACATGCTTTTGATGGTTGGCGCCATTTTGAGGTTGTCTGGAATATGTGGCACCTCAACCCGTGGAGAAATGGCAGGCAGACAGACATGTTCCAGGTGTCTGTCAGAGGGGGGTGAGGTCTCAAGTGTGTGTGGACAGGCTTCTGGGGCAAGATGTGAGCTGGTTGGATTCCCCTGTCAACAATGGGAATATGCCATGGATCGGAAAGGAGCCCAAGTGGCTGTGCAAATCAATACCATGTATTGATCGCTCAGAACCGATTCAACATAATTGCCTGGAAATTGATACCAATTTGCTTTCTTGCTCAATTGCAGCCGCACTCCTTCCTCTAGGTTATAGACACAATTACCTGCCCTCGGAGCACCCCGTCACCCCCACACTTATTTCCTGACCCTTGCTTTAGTGCTTCTGAAGTATTTGTGTCCTTCCTCATAAGCTGCCTCCATACCCCCGTTTCCGAAAGGAGATGGGGTGTCTCTCTTTTGAGTGACAATTCAAGGTGCTTCCTCATTCAAAACTTAGATCTCCTTTGACTTGCAACATGATTGGTGAAACGGCTTGTAAATTGGATCAGGGTTCTTAAATGACAAAGCAGAATACTTAAGAAAGGGAAGAGATTTTTTTTCCCCCTAAGTGTTCCAAAGGGGCCTTGCTAGGTGGGGTATTCGGACCTGCCCTCTGGTTAGCTGAAGGCACACCTGCAGTCTTGGCATGAAGGCTGGCGAAAGGCGCCAATTGAAGTAGGTCAAGGGCCCATTCACGCTGAATCCAGACAACCTCACATATATCTAATCACGGAATTAGTTTGTAAGCACTGCACAGAGCTATGTGATGCTCGTAATGATAGATAATATACCTAAAAGGCTTTCGGAACCTTCAAGGAGTAGTGGATGATGTTGTTGGATTCGTGCTACACTTAAATCAGTGAATTCTCGCTCCTTTGAATGGTCATGTGGAATGTGTCGGTCAGCAGCTATTTTATCTTTGGTGACACAGCCTCTATTCTTATCAGGGCATAAGCTGGAAACTTCTTGTTGTTTCCCATCCTTGTCCAACGGGATTTCTCACCCCGACAGACTGGGTTCTCACAGCCCAGAGGTGGCAGTGGCGTCCTGAGCCACTCCTGGGGCACATGGCTTAAGGCAAACGATGTGCTTTTTGGTTGATCAGACTACGCAGTCGCTCAGCCTCCTTCTGAATGAGCAGTGTTCCTGGATTTATTATGATTTGCGCCCCCAAAGTCTGCTCTCTTACCATATTATTTTCAACTCCCTAAAACCACTGCGTGTGCATAGGGATACACCAACCAAGCAGGTGTTCCTGTTTGTCCCCCTTTTTCCTTCCTCAGAGACCCAATGACAAAACGCAAATGCTTTCGGTTTTATCAGGCCCATTTCCCACGTGCAGGTGATGAATTCTGAAGGGCCCCATGAACAGGGAGCGCTGTGAATAGGGTATTGTATCGGGGAGGCTGCTGCACGGAGCAGGAGGTCTGCTGGCCTGGGAATTGTGAGGCCCATTCTCAAGTGCCTGCTCCGAAACTAATTTGATGGAGGACTATGGAAAAAGGCCTTTCTCTTCTCTGGGCTTGTTTCCTCGGCTATAAAATGAAGATGGTGATACCTGCTATGGGGTGGGCGTGTGAGGGTGGGCTGTGTGGGCCAGAGGGGCACAGGGGCTGGGAATCAATTGTGCCAGCTCTAGGACAGGGGCAGGAGATGGGGAGGCTGAGGGAGGGCTTAGGCCAAGAGTAGGGTCTTGGGCTTTGCTCTGGAGAAAGTGGGGGGGGGCAAGGGCTTCTGAGCAGAGAAGTGGGGGGAGTAGGGACCTGGATGTGCCCAGGCTTCTAAAAGATCAGCCTCAAAGGTGAGAAAGCCCAGGCTGCAGCTGGGAGATAGAAAAGGCAGTGGTTGTGTGAAGGGACCTTACTTGCCTCCAAAGATCTCCCTGCTTAGGAAACTCTGGCCATGGACCAGGTCAGGAAAGGGGGAGCCACACGTGTCATGGTATGATGAGGACAGAAGGCTAAAGATCCTTGATCTGGGGACCAAAGGCTCAAGTCAGAGACAAAACACATCGAAAGGGCTTGTCCTGTGGATGACGGTGCAGAAGCTCTGGGTGGGTGTCAAAGGGGCAGCCCTTGGGGGCAGGTACCATGTTCTTATCTTTTCTCTAGCCCCAGTCCCTACCAAAAGAGTGAAAACTTAACAAGTTTTTGCAGGATAAGGGGACTTGGACTTGACACGATGAGAAAAACCTCCTCACAAGAAGAGCTGCCTGGAAGTAGGACAGGCTGGCTTGGAGATAGGGAGTTCCCTCTCACTCACTAGCAGCAAATACTTGAGCAGGAACTGGAGGATTATTTTGGGGTGTGCGGCGGTGCGGGGGGACGTGGGGGTCATCAAGGAAGGGCTGATGACTGAGGCCTGGACAGCTGCTCCCTCCAGTTCTGGAGGTGCTACGGTCTCAAGCCACATGGAGCCAACCCCACGGACGCTCCCTTGGGTCTCAAGGTATCCCTGGGTTCGTCAGGACCCAGTGTCTGAGACAAGGGGAGTGATGCCCAGAGAGGGCAGGTGAGCCCAGGAAAAGAAAATGGATTTCTTCCAGTGCTGGCTCTGCCTGCCAGAAATCACTCCTCAGCAGGACCAGGGAGGAAATGGAGCCGTGTGGGGTGATCATGGGAAAGGGGCTGGCTGGGCCTCTGGATGGGTCTTTATCTCTCCTGAGAGAGGGGGTACCATCAGAGATGGGAAGACCCAATTCATAGGCAGCTGAGTCACACCAGGGCAAGTCTGGGTTGGCAGTGGTGGCATCTCTCCAGCCGAGGCGGGCTCTTTCCCTTGTCGACTGTTCTTCCCCCAATTGCAGAGCACGGTGTCGGCAGGCCCCAATTAAGGGTAATTACGTGATCTATGAGATAATTCTGCGGGGCTCCCCAGGCTCCTTGGTCTCTTCCAGGGCTCAGATTGTTTGGCGAAATCTAAGCGTCTAGAGCAAGATTTATAGCCTTCCCTTCCCTCCAATGCCACACAAAACCAAACAGCGCATGCCTAATATTACTATCCGTGCAGGTCTAATATTAGGTCATCACAGCAACAGTTTATGGAGAAATTCCTCTGTGCCAAGCCACTCTCTTCAGGTGCCTCATTTCATTGCATGCTTACAAGGACTCTACGTAGTAGGTATAGTTATCAACTCCATTTTGTGACTAGGGAAACTGAGGCCCAGAAAGGAGGAGCCACTTGTCCTGGGATGCACAGCTAATGATGGCAGAGCTTGGATATGAGATTAGTCTGACTCACAGCTTGAGCTATTAGTCCCGATTGCTATTGTCAATGTCACACTGTGGGAGTCAGGGGGGGTGACCTAGGGGACTAAAGGAAGGTGCTTGCTTCTCCTCTATCCCTTGCTGAGGCCCGAATTCCATGTATAATGCCTTACAGGAAGGGGCAGTTTCATCATTATCTTTCATTTTCTGTTCAACCCTATCAGGTCAGCAAGGGAGCTTTATCATGCCCATTTTACAGATAAAGAAAGTGAGGTCAGAGCTCATGACTGGCAGAGGCTGAACTTGAACTCAGGTCTGTCTGGCTTCCAGAGTCTGGGTTTTTTCCCCCGTAACCTACAGCTTCTAAAAGACAAGGACCAAGGCTTGCTCGGAGGCAAGCCCAGGGCTGGGCACAGCCAGCAAAGGGCATCCCTGTGGCGATGGCGACATCTGACCTTCCCTCCTGTCATTTTCCAGGTGCCACCACAGGGGTGCAAAATGCTGCTCTGGGTGTTCTTGCTCATGATCCTCACCCTCAGCAGTGGCTCCCACTGCTCCCCACCCTCTCTGCCCCTCAGGTAAGCAGTCCTGGATTCCCATCACCCCAAAGCCATCCCTGCTGGTGGGAGGGTGCTTAGAGGATGCAGAATTGAGCCATCAGCTGTCCCCAGCCATCTCTTCAGGCAACCCCCACTGCCCATCTCTGGGAGGGGGGCACTCTGAGTTCCAGAGAAGACACCCTGGGGTCCCACACCCCTCTGGGGATGAACAGGGCCAAGGGCAACAGGTGGACCTTACAGAGACCTGGTGAGTGCAGCCCTGTCTGTTCCCTTGCCCGAGCCTGCCATACTGCCCATTGACCTCTGACTCCTCCCACATAGGATGCCCCGGTATGCCGATGCCATCTTCACCAACAGCTACCGGAAGGTGCTGGGCCAGCTGTCTGCCCGCAAGCTGCTCCAGGACCTCATGAGCAGGCAGCAGGGGTAAGCAGGGGTTCTGGTGATCCCTTCCACACTCTACTGTGCACCAAGTTTTGTCTCTTCCCTTGCACAGCATCTGTTATTTCTGGACTTGCCATAGCAGAAGGGCCCCAAGGTCAAACTTCAGCTTCCCTCTAACTATTAAATGATCATTGAACACCTACTATGCTTCTCCCTACGCTGGACTCCAATAGAAACCATACCAATGGTAGTTAGCACTGGATCACCACTCAAAAACAAAGGCTCTGCATGGGGACATTTACATACACTTGGCACAGTGTCAAGCACACAGTAAGCCCTTGTTAGCGTTAGTCATTATTCTTCATTTCTTATTTGCTCTTTCTAAACACCCTACAAAGTAGGGACTCTTACCCACATCGTCCAGAGCCATTAATAACTTCTGAAGGACACACACACCAAAGAGTGGCAGAGCTGGGATCCAAACAGCCTGACTCCACATTTTTCAGTTTTCATTTTGAAAAAATTCCAAATGTATAGAGAAATTGCAGCAATAGTACAAAGGACTTCTACACACCCTTCCCTATATTCAATAATTCCTAATATTTTTATCATATTTTCTTACTCTATAACTTGGATGTACATCTACACATACACAAACACGTGTACACACTTATTATTACTATTATTAGCATTATTATTATGTTGCTGAACCATTTGAGAGTATTTTGCAGTCCTCATGACCCCTTACCCTTAGGTATTTCTGTGGGTGTCTCCTAATACCCAATGAAAGGACATTCTATTACTTAATCACAGTATAATTATCACTTAGAGTCCATATTCAAAATTTACTAGTTGTCCCCAAATATCCTATATAACAATTCTTTCTTTTCCTGATCCAGGATCCAATCCAGGGTTATAGGTTGCATTTAATTGTCATATCTCTTTAGTTTCTTTTCATCTGGAACAGTTCCTCAGTCTTCCAAGTCATTGACGTTTTTATTTATCAAAGGTCAATTGTTTATAGAATGTCCCTCATATTGGATTTGCCTGGTGCTTCCTCTTGGTTAGATTCAGGTTATGCGGCAGAGATGGTGTTGTGTCCTCTTCAGTGTATCATATCAGGAGGCACCTGATGTCAATTTGTCCCATTATTGGTGATGGTAACTTGGATCATTTGGTTAACATGGTGTCTGCCAATTTTCTCCTCTGTAAAGTTAATATTTTTTCCTTTGTAATTAGTAAGTAACCTGTGAGGAGATATTTTGCAAACGTGTGTTTCATAGCCTATACTCTGCACTACTACATAGACTGCCTTCCTAAATGTTGCCGTATTTAATTCAGTTGGCTGGCAGCATCCAAACCAGACATGGGAACAGGCACAGGGACACACCCTGCTCTGCTCCCTTTGCCCTGCTCTTTCCCAGGCCTCTCCACCTGCGAACCAAATAGCAGCCTCAGCTGTTTCTCTTTTTCTAATCAAATAGGGAAAGAAACCAGGAGCAAGGAGCAAAGGTAAGGACTGGCCGTCAGGTGGACAGCATGTGGGCAGACCGAAAGCAGATGGCATTGGAGAGCATCCTGGTGGCCCTGCCGCAGAAGCAGAGGTAGGAATACGTGCATGTGTGTACATATGTGTATGTGTGTGCACGTGTGCATGTGTGTTCATCTAGGGAGCTCAGAGGCTTCCTTTCCTGAGGATCAACAGGAAAAGGAAAGACTCTCCTCTCCAAAGGCATGGGACTCTCCCAAGCAAACTGGGAACGAAGTCCCTCCTCCCACACATCAAGAACTGGAGGAAGAGGAGAAAGCGTGTGAGATAGCAACTGGATCTTATCCATTGCTGTATCTCCAGTGTGTAGCAAGAGGCCAGGCTCAGCGTCTGTGTCCAAAAATATTACTGACTCGGTAGTTCTGGGAGAAGACTCAGGAACCTGAATTTTAACAAATGTCCCCGGGGATGAATGATCTGAGAAGCGTGCCCTGGGTCCCTTGCCAAGTTCATAAAACTATAAAGCCAAGCACCAGCCCCTCCCAACGCCCTCAGATAGACTTGTGCGTGTAGCACTCATGATAGAGAGAGAGGAGAGTGACAGTCATTCCCCATCTCACTGCCCCTCACATTCCCAGTGGGAGTTAGGGGAGATCAGGAATGAGTTTTCCCATCTTACAGAGGAGGGAAACTGAGGCAAAGAAGGGGCAGCAGCTGCCCCCAAGTCAGGGGCTGGCAGGCCCAAGACCTGCTTCCCTGGAGCGCCTTCCCAGAAAGCCCTGCTTCATGGACAAAGTTTCCCCCAAAATGACTGTTTGGTGAAACTCTGCTATATTTTGGAGGCCAATTTTCAACTGTGAGCACCAACATGTCCCAGCACGAGTCTGCCAGGCATTTCTGGACCTATTAAGCAAATCCAGTTCCCAACAGAGCTCTCCATGTGCCCACTCACCCTCTTCCCAACCTAATTAGACACCAAGAGCTCAGAGATCTCTCACCAACTATAGTCCTGTGGAGGTACAAGCAGCAGCAGGCGACAGGCGGACGGCAGGAGAGGTGAGAAGCAGGCTGGGAGGCCGGATGCACACCTGGGCCCCAGGTCTGGTTCTGTAGCCAACTCACTGTACCCAGCAAACTGGCTTCCTAGTTTCCTCCTCTGTGAAAGGAAGGGGTTAGCACTGACCCCCTCTAATGTCCCTAAGGGCAAGCATTCTAAAAATAATGCCTCGAAGAATAATGCCTGTGCTGTGCTTCTCATGCTGGGGCTAGGTGTCCTTCACCTGCTTTATAGCTCCCACCAGGCCCCAGTGGGGGTGGAGGGGTCCCCAGGAGGGCCACGTCCTAAGAATGCAGGCTTTGCTCCTGCAGATTAAAAGCCAGAGGCTTCACGGGGCTCGAAGTCACAGGGCTGCAGGAAAGGGCCAGGAGGCTGCTATAGCCAAAGTTTCCCCCTCCAGCTCAACGGCTGCAAATACCAGGGAATCACGGGTAGGCCTGAGAAAACATAAAGCAAGAGTGAGTCCTACCTTGATAGCTCGGAGTAGAATGATTTGACAGGTGGCATTCTGCACCCACCCTAGTTCATGTCTGCCTAACAGCCCTGTAAGGTAAACTCAGGTTAAAATTTATCCCTCCTCCCAGCCCTTCAAAACCATCCAATGACTTTGGTCTGGGGGGACAGCAGTGATAGGACCGCAGTTGTCCCTGCTCTCATGGCATTCATAACATGTTGCGGCAGACAGAAACTGAACAAGCACTGGTATAGTGGATTATTTAATGTGTGACAAATGGTAAGCGATGTAAGTTGTGTGGTGAATGTTTGTGCCAGAAGAAATAACCTAATCTAACCCTTTCTGGGGATTAGAGAGAGGTGACTTCTTCAAGGGGAAGTCTCTGGCCTGGGAGGGATCTCAGTGGGACGGGGTTAGCAAAACTGGGGCTAAGCATGAGGTAGTTTTTAAAATTTATTTTATTATTATTTTTTCAACTACAGTTGACACACAATATTGTATTAGTTTCAGGTGTACAATGTCGTGATGAGACATTTATGTAATTTACAAAGTGATCATGCCAATAAGTCTAGTACTCATCTGACACCATACAGCATTAGTACAATATTATTGGCTATCTTTCATCTGCTGTACTTTACATCCCTGTGACTGTTTTTATAACTGGCAATTTGTGCTTCTTAATCCCTTCACCTTTTTCACCCAACTTCCTAACCTCCCCTCGCATCTGGTGACCATCAGTTTGTTCTCTGTATCCATGTGTTTGTTTCTGCTTTATTTGTTTGTTTTTTAGATTCCACATATAAATGAAATCATATGGTGTTTGTCTTTCTCTGATTTATTTCACTTAGCATAATACCCTCTAGGACCATCCATGTTGTTGCAAATGGTAAGATTTCATTCTTTTTTTATGGCCGAGTAGTATTTCATTGTATACAGAGGGTGCCAAAAAATATATATACACATTTTAAGAAAGGAAAAACTGTATTAAAATTGTAATACTCAATATATACCGATAACAAAAGATGAATATGTGTCATGTTTGACTTCTGCAATTACAAGAGGTGCTCAAAGTGCTTACCATCAGCGTAATTTTAATACAGTTTTTTTTCTTTCTTAAAATGTGTATACATTTTTTTGGCACCCTCTGTATATATGTACATCTTTATCCATTCATCTATCAATGGGCATTTAGGTTGCTTCCATATCTTGGCTATTGTAAATAATGCTGCAATGAACATAGGGATGCATGTATCTTTTTGGATTAGTGTTTTGTATTTATTTGGGTAAATACCCAGAAGCGGAATTGCAGAGTCATAGGGTAGTTCTATTTTTAATGTGAGGAACCGCCATACTGTTTTCTATAGTGGCTGCACCAATTTGCAATCTTGGCAACCATGCACGAGGGTTCCCTTTTCAAGAATGCGGTTCTTTTGGAACCCAGACAGTCTTGACACTGGAGCATCTACCCATCCGCCTCGGTCCAGGTGTCCTGCCCTAACTTGCCCTTTCTTCAGTCCCTCCAATTGAGCTTTTTCTTTCTTTCTGCAACAGGAATTCCCAAGGATGAAGATCCTGCCTGTGTTTTACGCTGCCTGCAGCCAAAACACAACCGCATCCAGTTAATCCTATTTAATTTTTGACCTACTTTTTCCTTTATAAATACAATAAAATTCCCCCATCCTGGTCTGCATTTCAATTTTCTTTTATCTTCAGCCTAATTTTTTATGTGTTTTACAGAGTTACATTTCCCAAAGTGGTATTACACGGTCTAATAAAAAAAAAAATAGCTAACATTTACCAAGCACTCAAGATTGCCAGTCGGGCAGCTTCACGCCTAGAATCTCATGTGCTCCTCACACAACCTAATGGGAGGTATTTGGCATCCACTCATTTCACAGACAAGGAGCTGAGGCACAGAAAGCTTACCTGAACTGCCACGGTCACGGCTGACAGGGAGAGAGCTGGGATTCAAACCCAGGCAGTCCAGCCCAGAACCAGGCTCTTAAACATATGGTCTACTCTGGGCCAAAGTCATCCTTCATCCACTGGTGACGTGTTCATCTATGAGCAATACCATTTACTCATTCAGCAAATATTCATAGAGTACCCACTCTGTGCCAACCACTGTTCTAGGCACTGGGAATAGTCATGAGTAAATAGACAAAGCCCATGACTTCATAGAGCTTATATTCTAATTAGAAGAAGAAGAATAAAAACAGGTAGATCTAGAATATGTCAGATGGTGGCAATTGCAAAAGATAAAAATTTAAGGGGGCGGGGAGTGCTGGAGGCCACTATTTGATCTATCATGTATATATATGCGCTGTGTAGTGGTCAGGTAAGACCTTGCTGATGACATGACATTTGAGTAAAGGCCTGAAGGAAGAGAGGGCATTGGCATTATGAATATTTCAGTTAAGAATATCCATGCAGAGTGAAAACCCAGCACAAAGGCCCTGCGGCAAGAGAGGAGAAGGAGGCAGAGCAAGGAGATGAGCGTGGCTAGGAGAGAGCAAGGGTGTGAGAGGAAGGGAAGGGAGCAGAGACAGAGCAGGAGGCCAGCTCAGGAGGACCCTTAGCCATGGTAAGGACTTACGATCTCACCCTTGGTGAGACAGAAGCCATCACAGGGTTTAAGCAGAATGACACAATCTGACCTGCATTTAAAGTCACTTTGGGATAGGGTCAAATTCGGGATACATTCTTAGGATAGAACTCGTTTGCTGATGGATAGGGTGTAGGATTAGAGATGAGTCAAGAATGGCTCTGAAGTTTTTGGCCTGAGCAACTGGAAGGATGGAATTGCCATTTAGGAGAGTTGGGGGTTGCGAAAGAATCAGGAGATGGGTTTAGACGTGGGGAGTCAGAGACATTATTAAAGGTCCAAATGTGGATGTCCAGTAGGCACCTGAATTTACAAGTCTGGAATCAGGGGAGAGGTCTGGGCAGCCAGTTTGGCTTGGCAATGATCATCATTTAGATGGGTGTTGTTGTTTTTAAGTCAGGAAAGTGGGTTAGATCACCAAGGAAGAAGTACAGAAAAAGTAGACAAGAGGTCTAAGGACTGACCCTGAAGCATTCCGGCATTTAAAGTCTGGAGGAAAGGTGAGGAACCAGCAAAGGAGACTGAGAAGGAGCAGGCAGTGAGCTAATAGGAAAACTACGAGAGAGAGAAATTCCAGAAGCCAACTGGAAAAAGTGTTTCAAAGAGAAGGGAATGGTCTACTGTACCAAGTACTGCTGATGGGTCAAGTCGGTTGAGAACTGACCATGGAAGTGACTGTAAAAGCCACTGATGACCTTGGCAAGAACAAATTGGGTGGAGCAATGGAAGCGAAAGTCTGACTTGAGTAGGCTCAAGAGCAAATGGTAGGAGAGGAATCAGAGCTGGTGAGTATAGGCCTGGCTGTCCAATATGGTGGCCACCTGCCATGGGGTGGCTACTGAACCCTTGAAATGTGGCTAGTACAAACTGAGGTGTGCCATAAGCGTAAAATAGACACTGAATTTCAAGGACAGTATAAAAAAAACAATACACAATAGCTCAAAAAATGTAATATTGATTACATGTTAAAGTAATATTTTGGATATACTGGGTTAAATAGCATATTATAACAACATTAATTTCACCTGTTTCTTTTTTACATTTTTGTATTGAGATTACCAGAAAATTTAAAATCACCTATGTGGCTTGCATTATATTTCTATTGGCCAGCGCTGGTAGAGCTCATTCTTTTGAGATGTTTTGCTGTAAAAGCCAAGAACTGAAGCCACTGACCAGAGGTATCTATGTCAGTGATTACTCAACGTTTTCTAGTCATGAACCATTTCCCCCGGGCCAGATATTCCCCCATATCAGCAACCCTATGCGTGACCATTAGAATCTGGTAACTTTCTGTGTGAATCCCAATGGCCTATGTTTTGATTTGGGAAATGGTTACACTAGTGCAGTTAGATGTGCAAACTCATTAAGTTGTATACTTAAGATCTGTACATTTCACTGCAAGTAAAGTAAGTCTAAAAAAAGTGAAAAGTCTGGATGATGGGATGTCTATTTTGATTAAAAATACATGAAGAATTGCAGCACATTAGAGTTGATGGGGACTCAAAAAAGATGAGCAATGCCACCCCCATCATTTTCCAGCTGGGGACACGTAGTGCCTCCCATGGGCCTGTCTCTCAGCACCGGAACAGAACCGTACAGCCAACTGGGTTCTTCACAGGGTTTAGACCACCTGCTCTCCCTGGGAGCCCCCAGTTTACCCTCCAAGAAAGAATGTAAAGCGTGGGAAAGTCTTAGCAGGGGGCCACCAGTCGGCTCTGCTGAGGAGACAATACGAACAATGGTGAAACAAAAGCCCCCTCCAGAGGAGAAGGCTGGCTATTGAGGGCCGGCAGTCCACTTCAACCAAGAGAGGCAGGCAGGCCAGAACCGGCCAAGGAAGGACAAAGGAGGGGAGCGCTGAATGGGGCCAGCATTGAGCCCCCCTCTTCTCCGCCCCCGCCCCTCCACCCACCTGCTCATCTCCTTCCTCTGCCTGTCCCCACAAAAGCAAACACTGAGGGCTCTTTCAACTTCCAATTAGTTTTTCAAATGAAATAATGACCACTGGGACCCGTAGCTACTTGTGGTTTTCGAGGTGAATGCAATTATAAAGGCAGAAACCATGATGGGAACAATTCCGGTGCTTTATCACCATTAACGATGACACTAATGGCATCTTAAAAGACTTAACCCCCCTCAGCGGAGGTTCTGGGAGCTTCCCATTCCTGTGGGGTTCCTATTTAAGACCAACTGCTATTTTTTTTCCCCCTAAAGAAATGCTATAATCAATGGGGGGACTCCTTGCTTTTAATGATAACGGCTTATGTTTTGCATTAACTTCAAGTTCACAAAGAGGTTTCCCGTGCGTGACTTCATTTGCTCCCTACCACAGCCCTCTGGAGAAAGGCAGAGCAGTGCTGGCCTCACAGACAGGTGAGGGGTCACGTGACTCGGCCAGGTCCTACAGCAGGAGGGAGCAAAGCTGGAAACTGGTTCCTGATTCCAGGGCAGCGGTCTTGTGTTGTCTCAAGACTCCAGGCCCCTCAGGAAATGCGAGCTGGGGAGTCAAGTGAATTAAAGAGAACAAACAAACACGGACCTGGTACAAACTGTTTACTGGGCTCCTGCTAACAACACACAGAAAAATAACAATAATAATATCTACACTAATCAAAGAGTCAACAGGAAGTGCCAGGCACTGTGGTTTGGGTGTGTTTTGGGTGTGACCTCATTTAATCCTTATAATGGATTAAGGATACCTTAGAGGTATCATCCCTGTTTTTACTGATGGGAAACTGAGGCCCAAAGAGGTAAAGAAAGGTGCCTAAGGACACACAGTGAATCAGGGAATTCAGAGCAGGTCAATTGGACTTTAAAACTCTGTGCTTAGTGCTCCTTCAAGAAGGCCCTGCACCGCTGTGGTGTCAAAGGAAAACCAGAGATGCACGGCAAAGTGGTTAACACGGCTTTTACTTGGAACCATTGTAATGGGGGAAAAGAGACCTCAGTATAGAACTGGGCTTGATTCCAAAATACAGCCTAGGCAAGTGGGAACTTACAGCCAAGGAGCAGGGTGGGGATCAGTGGATGGAAAATTACTAAGACGAAACATCAGTGGGGAGGGGTGTTCTGGCGAAACCGACCTAACAGGATTCTTGCTGAAAACAGGCCAGGGTGATCAGACATCACCTGAGGAATGGTGGAAGGTGAGGAACCGTATCAGATATCATGATGATCAGATAGCGAAGGTGGGGGCTCTGGTTAAACTGACTTCGCAGGGTTCTTGCTAAAGCAAGATTTTACAAGTAAGTTCACAGTTGGGCCTAGAAGCTTCGTTCAGGAGCCTGACTCCAGTTTGGTCAAGCAAAGAATCTTTGTCAGTAGTGAATAATTTAAGCAGCAAATCCAGAATTTCGTAAGTTATGAGCCCGGCTTGCTGTTGACTCCAGCCTTCCCAAACCCGCTACTAGGCTCCAAGCAAACAGACTCTCCCCTGCGGCCTTGCTCTGGAGCTAAAAGCTGAGAGCCCTTCAAAAAGCTCTACCTGGTGGGAGGACCAGACAGAGAGCATGTGAAGTGAATTTCTGCCTCTGCTACGTCCCAGCGTAAAATTCAAGCTCCCTAAAATTTGTCATTGGTCCTCAAATCTATTCCCTTTACCACAGCCCTGTTTGTTCAGGCTTCCAAGGATACTCTCCTCCTTGCTAACTACACCTTACTGCACTGGCCTACTTTCAGCTCAGATATGTCAAGATCTTGCCTCAGAGCCTTTGCCTATGTTGATTCTTTGCCTGAAAGGCTCTTCCCCAGCTCTGCGAAGGCTCGTGTTTGTCCTCCAGGTGTCCACTTAGCCTTCCCAACGCCCTAGATAAAAATTGCTTCCTTTGAAGCCCTTCTCACATTTGTAATCTCTCTGGTGCCTTTCCCGTCCCCTCCAGGTTGTAAGGGGACCCATGGCAAGAAATGCTATGTCTTGCTCACTGCTGTAGATCTAGACACAGCACAGAGCCTGGCACGTAACAAATGTCTTGCTGTTGCTTTATTCTCCAGCTCCCTCTGGGTCTGCAGGCCCCCTGAGCCAGCCTTGGTGGCCCCTCGCCTTGCCAGCCCTTTCTCTAGGAAGCTGTTTCCTGGCCTCCTTTCCTCCAGCCACTGCACTTCTATTTTCGGTCCCTAGTTTCTCCTCTCTCCACCACTGCCCATCAGGCCTCATCTGGTGTCTTCTACAACTGTACAGGTCTCGTTAAAGGTGTGCAAGTCCCAGCAGGGTGGGCTCCCCATGTTCTCATTCTTCCCTGTCACTCTGAGCTGCTGAGGTCCCAGCATATCTAAGGGACACAAGAGCCACCCAACAGCAATGGGAGACCAATATCACCCTTCCCCCTCAGGGTGGAATAACAGCAAAGTTCCCAGTCCTAGATGTCCACAGGAGCCAGGGAAATACCAAGGGAGTGGAGTTGGCAGGTGAGTAGCACGTGTGATGTGCAGAACGGACGCCTGTGAGGGGCGGGGCTACGGCACAGGAGCACAGGCCCCATCCAAAGGGAGGAGCTGCAGCTCAGGGCCAGCTGATGGGTTCCCATGCAGGAAGCAGGCCCCACGCTGCTAACTCGGATTTTTTTCAAGAGAACCCTAAACCTCAAACCTAGATTTTTTTTTTTTTTTTAGCCGAGCCATCCTGCCACCTGTTGTCAGCTCAGCGGCAGCTCAGCTCGGGCCATGAATCAAACCGGTGACCCTGTTGCTCAGAGCTCACACTCTTGAGTGAGCTCTTACCCAACTGAGCCACTCGGCCGGCCCTCAAACCTAGATTTTTATATGAACTTTCTCAAGTTGCAAATGTTAGCAACCAATTCAACTTATAAGCACACACTATAAATCAAATAAAACGTATCCATGGGCCACCAGTTTGCAACTTTTGGGAAAGGTGAGGCCCCCCTTCCCATTTTAGAGGCACCCCTGGAACTGCCCTTGTCGCCCTCCTGCCTGCAGAATCCCATTCAGAAGTAGCGCGATGTTCCAGAATCTCTTCTCCCTTTTCCTACAAATCCCCATTTTCTCATGGCAGTGAAATCCAGCTAAATGGGAACGCCATCTGAACAAAATTCCTTCTCCCTCAAATTCGATCCTGTTAGGATTACCCGCATTTTAAGTTCTCTAAATGTATTTGTTATGTTTCAATTAATAGAATTATAGGCAATGAGCCAAAGTACAGGACTCTGGGCCAGTTAGGAAAGGTGCCAAGCTCTGAGCCAAGCGCTTTAGATGCATGAAACGCCTTCAGTCAGATGAGGCAGGTACTGTTATTATCCCTCTTTTACAGAAGAAAAAAGGAGGCTTACCGGAGTTAAGCCATTTGCCCCCCGTCTCACCCTAACTGGTGGTAACCGCAGGTTTGCCTGACACTGAAGTCTATACACTGACCCACACTATTCAATATTACTCCTCTGAGTGATTGTATCGCCTGCATGTATCCCTGTGATGGTGGTCCTGGGCACAGCTACAAAAGGGCATTCTTGAGATGTGTGTGATCCTCTGAGAGCCTCAGATAATGCACGTGGTCAGCCTTCTTTTAAGGCAATCCCTTCCCTTCCCCACTGCATACAGACACCACTCTTTCCAGGCACAAGCACAGCCTGCAGAGACTAACAGGGCTCCTACGCCGACAGCTGGTACCCGCTGCTGGGGAAGAAGAAAGGGCGCTGGCTTCTCCAGGCAATTCCCGCTTCTGCTAAGAATGAGGTGCGTGGGGCCAATGTGAAAGGGCCTGAAAGAAACCCCCTGGCCACTGTGTCAACACCACTTCCCAACCAAGTCCTCGTGTGTATAGAGGTCCCATCAGTCCACAAGTACTAGAAGAAACTCTCAATCAGGCCTTCGTTCCCGTTATTCTCTTTATTCCAAAACAGATTCCTTACAGACTTCAGCTTTTCAAAGGCAATGTCTGGGTAAGTGTGGAATATTCACAGCCTCCTGCTGGGGCACCACGCCAAAGAAACGGAGTATCTGGGTTCACAGGCGTCTGCTCTGCGTTGGGGCAACAGAAAAACAAGCGAAAGTATAACCACAATTTCAACTTTCTTTTTAAATAAAGAATTTTTTCATTCCTCTTTTCAAACTGTGACTTGTTCTTGACATTCATTTCAGGTTTCAGAATTGCCTTCCTTTTTCAGGAACTAATGTGCTGTTCTGAAAGAAAATGGAGACAAACACAAAATTACTGAAGGTTTCCAACTCGCCGTTACAATTCCTAACTGGTGACAACAGAGAGACCAAGGTCCCCATTAATAAGGGAATAGTCATTTTTCTATTCTATTTATTTATGCCCCATCTAACTTCAGAAAAGAATGTAAGACAGCTAGTTCAAACTAAAGCTGATAACAACTTAAATAAAAACCATGAAACAAACCTGATGAGAACTAAGAAACCGGTGTATGAAAATCTGAGGAGATGAGGTTAATTCCAGGCACACCTCTCACAGCGCAAAGCCAAAAAGATAGTGTAAATTTCAACTACTGCAGATGAACAGAGAGGGCGGTTTAACCACTGCTCATCTTCAATTTCCCAGACTCCAGGTCTGCCAACCTGATGTAACTTAGACGATAACGTTGTGACCACTCAGTACAGAAATCTGCACCATATTCCTGCCATGGGATCATGTTCTTGCCAGTGGTCAGAATTGGTGTCTATACCTAAGAAAGAATGATTCTCAAAACTGGGACACGGCTCACAGAGAAATTTCAAGAGGGGATAAAAACACTCACTCTATTCCTTCTTTCCCTAACTAAGGCTGCCTTTCCCTAGACTTTAAGAAGGGGAAACAACAATGGAAATGACAATCTAGACAGACACTGTGCCACCAGGAGGGGGGCAGCAGGTAAGTGACTCGGGCAGCTCTGGCAAGCAGAGGCAGGGTGCGGACACACACGCCGTCCTCAGTAGGCAGCCATGTCCAGTGGCGAGGGCTGATGTCATGACGCCATCTTCCAGGATGGCAGGCTCCCAACCAATTCATCAACAGTTCCAAGGGGCACGCCCAGGCACAGAACTACTCCCGAGGACCAGAGTGAGTGCCCGTGATTCCCTGCCAACATTCAAAGGTTCCCAGGGACTTTAACATGTGTGTGTTCCAAAATGTCCACGCGGAGAGGGCAGCATGAGTAGGAAAGAACAGCGGGAAGGAGGGTGGCCCACGAGCCTCTCTCTTGGCTAAGAAGTTATGCCGGCTCAAACGAATGTACGTCCTCAGGTCCGAAGTACTTAGCTACCAGGGACGTCCCTTTAAAATACTAGGTCCCAACCTCAGAAGTCCCAAACATCCAAATGATCGAGTGACCTTCCTTTCTTTCGAGTGGTATGATCCGGGGGTAGAAGGGTGGGGTGTGGATTATCCAAAAATCAAGAAAAACAAAATCAATCCAGTTACTTTCAAGAATTAAAGAGCTCAATATTTAGCAGAAAGGACTAGTTCTGAAAGCAAATCTCAGACAGAGCAAGTATAATTTAGGACAAAAGCAAATGGAATGGCCAGGTGGGGAGAAGGGACTAAAAAGGCACACAGGGACACTTTTCGGAGTGTGGAAATAGTCTGTATCTTGACTGCGGTGGTGTTTACATGATTGTATAAGTTTGTCAAAATTCACAGAATTGTACCACAAAAAGGGTGCATTTCACTGTATATAAATTAAACCTGAAGAAAAACAGAACCAAAACAAACATAGTTTCTTTCTGTGCTGAGGACTAGATATTCCGGCTTATGCTCACACATAAGTGAAAAGCCTCTATAGTCTATGCTTTTGTTGATTTCTCCTATTGTCAGAGGATTAAAAATTAGATGGCTCCGTTGCTCTGGCAGGCAAAGCCATTTCCACAGCAAGGGACGAGAGGAAACATGCCTAGAAAATTCAAATGCCTCCCTCCTCTTTGTTGGTTTAGTACAAGGGTCAACACCAAACCCAGCCCATCGACTGTTTTTGTAAATAAAGTTTTATTGGAACACAGCCACGCTCATTTGTTTCCATAGTCTAGGGCTTTTTTCACATTAGAGTGGCGGAGTTGAGCAGTTGTAACAGAGACCGTATGGCCTGTGAAGCCTAAAATACGATCTGGCTTTTTCCAGAAAATTTCTGCTGATTCCTGGTCTAAAAGGGCTGATCAATGAAGCTGATTGGACGCTCTCTCCTTCCCTCCCTTCACCTGGCTTCCACCTCCATCCTTGCCCTAGGATTAATACCTGAATGGAGAATGGGTGACACTTCACATGACATTTTAGTCACACAGGGAGCAGCCCTGAGCCATATCCTGAGCTCTAGAAACCTGGGTTCTGACACTGGCTTTGCTCTGTGGCCAGAAGTCTCACCACACCACACTGTCTGGCCCCACTAGAGGTTAGTGTTAGTTACAAAAGGCCCAGAAACAGGGACAAGGTGTGCCAGGATTTGCCGTGGGTCCATGGTGTAATGAATTTAGATGTCCTGAATGGGATCCCCTTTTAAGTCCAAGGTTGGGTCTGTCTTATCCTCCACTCGTTCTCCTATAAACACAGAGAGAGGGGCTGTTGTCTAGAAAGTACCCACGGGACACAGGAAGGATGGAGTCATCCATTCAAAGCCAGGCCAAGGTTGCTCTGCGGCAGTTACCCCATCGGCTGGGCCAACTCAGGGGACTTTGGCTTTTGCCCAGGTGCAGTCACAGTCTGGTCCCGGAAGTGGGAAAATGGCCTCACAATTCAGCTTTCGCTTAGGGAGGGGTGAGGGGTGGGGAGGAACTAGATAAATAACTGACATGCATGAGGCAGGCAAGATGGAAAAGGGGCCCTGCTTCTGGGACAAGTCCGCCCTTCATCTTTACCGTAATGTCCTATATTTTGCCAATCTACTGCTCTGCTCTGCAGCGATCCTGCCAAAGGAAAGAGGGGTTGAGAATCAAGAAAGGACAGTGAGAAGAGAAATAAGCTGAGGAAAGAAATGGCAAACACACAACCAGAGCTTCCGTTAGGGTCACTGATTTTTCCCAGTGGCAGAGTTTGTTCTAGGACCCACACTAAACATTCTAAATGGCAACGTGTGTGGGCTTTAAGTTTCTGTATGGGATGTGTGTGAGGGGGGAGGGGGAGATGAGACTCATGGTCTTCCCCCATAAAATGTCACAATTTTCAGATTCCAGATTAGGAACTCCTGCGAAGCAGGATCTAAATTAGATGGTTTCCAAACCCATTTCCCCTTGGTTTTGTCTGTCTTGTGTGGGCAACTTCCAGAAAAGAGAGCTCAGCAGAGCACAGCCTTCTGGCTCCCTGTGGCCTGGCCTGGCTGCTGCAAGGGAAGAGGGCTCTGCTTAGAAAAAGCAGCTGAGTCCCCGGTTCTTTCTCAGATGCAGGGTGTAACTGCCAAGTCAGGGCTGCTGGAGGAGCAGGAGAATGAATCAGTTGCCACTGCTAGTGCTAAGGGAAGCTCTGGCGGAATCTGGATTACTACAGAGACGTCCAGGAGCACATGGGGCCGGGTCTCCATGGTGAGGAGCTCAGAAAGCTCACGATGGAGACTACAGCAGGGATGAGACGTGTGGCTCTCCCACCCACTAATGAATGGTCTCTGAGAAAGCCTCTCTCTGATCTGACCGACTCAATTGGCAGCCACGTTAGAGGGCATACTATTGAGTTACATTCTTTCAACAAAAGTCCCCGGAGAAGAGAAAACAGGGTTATGTCTGAAAATGCTAACTTCCAAAGGTGAAAGCAATTCTGACCTTTCTTATTGACCTTCACGTGACGGAAATCGCCCCAAGTTCTGATAAAGTCAAATCAATGAGAAACACCTATGTGACATTTATATTTGCCTTTAGTCCAGGTTCAAAAGTCAAGCTGCCATCATGTTGAGATCTGACCGTTGTGTGAACCTAAGGTTGTCTGGTTCTTGGGGACGTGGTATAGGCTACTGAGCAGGGCTGCCAGGTGGGGGCCCCTGTAAAACCTATGGCAGTTTCTGTGGGGAAGAGCATGGACCTCACGCTCAGGAGGATAAGCTCTGGGTGCCTGCTGGCGGTTACAGAAGTCTGGGGCAGGGGAGGAGGGCAGAACAGGATTCTCTGTGGCAGCAGAGAACATTTTTATACAGGCAGCACATTAACAACAATCTTCTGCCACGCGTTCTAATTAATCCATGTTAATCTTCACAAAGCAGTTATTTTCTTCTCTTGCTCTCATGCGTTGGGACATAAATGGCTGTGGTTTTAATACAATGAAAGCGGACCACCAAGGCCCTTTTCTGACTTAAAAGGCTTCTGTGCTGGGCTGGATTAACGTGTCACACTTGCCCATAAGGGTATGAAATTATCTTGCTACATACCGTTGTTCAGAGCGTTGGGGGAGCAGAGCTGACAAAATATGTCTAATCCCCATCTGGGACCGTGGTCCACCCCTAGCCTTACCTTTTGATTGCCTGCTGGGCCAGCATCCGATTACCAGCCAGAAACGTCACACTGCCCAAGATGGCCAGGTACTTTAGGGTCTGGAACATGTTGAGTTGAGTCCAGTAGACATACATGAGCCCCAGCATTGCTACAAGAACAGGTGATATGACAGACAGTTAAATGAAACAGTGACCACGTGCTGGGGCAGAGCTGTTAGGAGTAGTAACTGCTGGATCCTAAAAAAGTCTGTATTTCTAAACTAGCTTGTTTTATTCCTTTTGTCAGATACCAGAAAAGAGATAATTTAATATACTCGCCTCTCAGCCTTGGCTACCAAGAAAGCCAGGGGTAAAAATCAGACCTCAGCTACTCTATCTATCTTGTTCCATGTTCTTGGCTCACATCTGTTTTCTTTCATGTAGGTTTTGTTTTTCAACATTACTGTCATGTTATATTTGGGACTCATTTTATTTTTCAAATTCTGAATGAAAGCACATAGGATTAAATAAATAATTTCTTTTTTATTTTTATTTTTTTTAAGCTGAGCCATCCTGCCACCTGTTGGCAGCTCAGCAGCTGCTCAGCTCGGACCGGGAATTGAACCGCTGTTGCTCAGAGCTCAAACTCTTGAGCGAGCTCTTAACCAACTGAGCCACTCGGCCGGCCCTAAATAATTTCTTTCTTATTAAAAAAATTTGAAGATGGCAGGCTGAGTGGCTCAGTTGGCTAAGAGTGCAAGCTCTGAGCAACAGGGTTGCCGGTTCGATTCTCATATGGGCCAGTGAGCTGTTCCCGAGCTGAGCTGCTGCTGAGCTGCCAACAGGTGGCAAGATGGCTCAGCTGGTGAGAACACGTGCTCCTAACAAGGTTGCTGGTGTGACTCCCGCATGGGATGGCGGGCTACGCCCACCCGCAACTAAGGTTGGGCACCTTGAGCTGAGCTCCCCTGAGCCTCCGATGGGTGGCCAGATGGCAACTGGACTTGGAGCTGAGCTAGCTGCACCCTCCACAACCAAGATTGAAGGACAACAACTTGGCTGTTCCCCTTCCCCAATTCCCTAATAAAATCTTTAAAAAAAAAATAAAAAAATTTGAAGAACAATTTGCCACTGTGACTAGGAAGGAAGCAAGGAGAACCGAGGAGGAAGGTTTAGCGAAAAGGGCTCAGGTCTGGGTACTGAGAGCCCAGGGTTCTGGTCCTCAATCAGGGAGAGGCTTTCTGCAAAGGCTCTGCCCTTCCAGCCATGTCATTCCTCTGAGCCAAAATTCTCCCACCTGTCAAACATGGATCATAATTCCTGCCCCGATCACCCCTATAGGGGTTATGATGAGAATTAAATGAGAGAATGTGCACAAAAAGCACTCTGCCAAGAAAAGTCATGGCTCTAAACAAATTTATATTCGGGTTTTGTTCTCAGCCTGACCCAGGAGGGCTATCACTCAAATCCAATAACTGGGCTGGAGAAAAAGGTCATCCTGTCAATGTTGCCCAGAAGGATGACTGATGAACTACAACGGGGGTTCTTAGCCATTTGTGAGGTCATCGACCACTGTGGGAATCTGATCAAAGTTATGGACTCTCTCTTTCTCCGGAAAAATACAGACACACATTTGCCTAGAATTTCAAGGGATTCCTCTGTGGACCCCTACAGAAGCCGCACACTACAGACACAAGAGGGTGACTTCTGAAAAGAGTCAAAGAAATTAGAAAAGAATATTGACATCTTAGTGATATGCAAGGCACCACCCACGGAGTCAACAGTGTCAAAAGTCTCTGGAATGCTGATTTGTGAATTTACTGTCCTGTTATGTGTAGGTCCTAAGTTCTCAAGAGAGCAAAGCAGGACAGCGTGTCTGGCTGTGGAAGGGACTGTTTTCTATTACTGTCCAGACACAGCCGCCCAGCAAATGCAAAGATCGATACAGTGGGGAAAGATAACCTTTGGAAGCTGCATTAATGCTCTTCATCCAGGAAGATGGCGCAATGTAAAGACACGATAAGTGAGTGATCTCTGGAAATGAGCAGGGCTATTAAGTGAGGGAAAATGGCCTGCCAACAGCAGCCTAGTACAACGAAACCCAATATAATGACAGCTGTTCTAAGCTGATGGCCCAAACAGGCTTATCATCATATTAACTGTCCTACAAGGCCAGGAGGAAGAGGGAAATGTTATACTATTAAGTCATTATAGTTAATAGGTTGTGAGTCTACTTAATAGGGCTTTTGCGTGGGCAGGCTAAATGTCAGAGGAGGTTAAATGGAATTAGCAGCCTGGGGCACTTACCCGCATGTCCCAGGTGAAAGATAATTGTGCTAGGAGCAAAAGTGAAGTTGGAGACATTGGCACCAATCCGAATCCACTAAACGATGGGGAGAAATAAATTAAAAAGACATTAGAACTTGAAAGGGAGGCAACACATGGCATGTCAATGCTAATCCAATGAACAGGCCTAAGGGCTTAAAAGGTCATGCATACTTGAAGGACAGGGAATTTTTCCAAGTGACAACTACCCTATTTAAGTCTTCAGGAAAAACTGTTCTCTTTTTTTCTTTGGAAAGGCATTCCAACACCTGCTTTCAAATGTGCTTGGGTAACTCAAACCTGAACATCATTTTTAATAGCAGCAAACTTTTTTATTTTGAAACAGGCGAACCCATGAAGCTGAAAGGTCAGAAACTGCATTTATGATGAAGTAATGGGTACCCTGGCAAGTTTCTCTAAGTACTGGTAAAATAACCCCCCTGGCAGCTGGTTGGATGAACGCTCTTGTGGTGATTCCGTGCCTTTTGAAATTCTGATCACTTAACTATGACAACAGATGCCCATATCTTCGGGTCTGGTGTCTGAAAGCTTGTGGCATGCTTTTCAGATTTAGATTCACCAAGAATTCCTTTATTAATATCAACGAATGAATTAGGAACACAGGCAATTTTCCCAAAGTAAGATCTAATGATTTTCCATACGGTTCTCAAAATTCTCTGAAGTTGGAGCATATGCATCTGTTTATAATTTTTAAAAAGAGACAAAGAAAAATATCAGTTGGTAAAAAAATATTTCAAACAGTATTTTAAAGTATAAAAGGTAAAAATGTCCTTCCTCTATACGCCACAAGAAGTCCTTTCCTTAGCGGTGACCAACACTAATAGATGATGCCTTTTTAAGGTTTCTACACAAAGGTGATCCTACTAAACACACCATCCTACCCCTTGTCTTCACTCAGTAAGACATCTTGGTAATCTTGTCATTTCAGCATATAAATCTATCCATTCTCTTAATAAGCTGCATATTATTCCATTGCGTGGATATACCATAATTAAACACTTGCTTTTATGAGGACTTGATGATGTTTCTAGTTTTATGCTCCAAGCAGTGCTGAAGTGCACAGCCTCATGCTCTATGTGGCTGTCCGCATTGGGCCTTGTTCTTTTCACACTTGACCTCATCTGAACACTCCCACAGGTATCCCAGTCCATACACTTGATCATTTTTAATGGCTATGAGGTATGTTCTCATGCCCCTTGTTACTGGGGCGGTGATTTGGCTGCTCCCTCATAGTGGGGAATTCCAGTTCTCCTATAAGTTTGTGACCACTGGTTCAGGTCACAGCTGCTGGACCCCTCTGGAGCTGTGCTGAGGCCAGAGCACAAAGCCTCCTTTGGAATGGCTACATCTGCTGAGTCTGGTGCCAGCCACACGCTGCCCATGCTAATTACAGCTACTCACCAGAGCAAAGAGCAGGAGCAGGGGCGAGAGGATCAGGGCGGTGAATGTATTGGACACCACCGTGGGGGGCCTCTTCTCAGGCTCCCGGAACAGGTGCTGCCAAAAGAAGTCACCAAGAATATTTAAGAACGTGCCCTTCCCAGAGGGGACTGCCATGTATACCAGGGACCAAAATGCCAATGACAGTCAAGAGGAAATGTCTCCCAGAGGCTCCAACCCCCTGGCAATGAGTGGCCATTTGGCCTTAGGCCTCTTCTCGATGCTGGCTTCTGCTCCCAGAGGTCTCCTTCCAAAGACACTACACCAGTCCCAGCTCACTACCTGGCTAGCCCTCTTGGTCCTGGAAAATGCAACCTATCAAGTAGCCTTTGCCTCGTATCAAAGAGGGTGCCCAGGTACACGGATGGCTTGGGTGCTACATCCAAGGCAGGTGTCTGGATTTCATATTGCTTCTGGGTTCCCAGGGTGGCACTGTTGTATGTCGCTACCCCCACTTAAGTTAGCTAACTGGTGCTAATCTCACCCTCTTTTAAAATTTAGCAGAGCCTCACAGTATGGTTCTTCCCATAACTCACTGCCCGCACCCCCCACCCCGTGCCGCCTCCAGAAAGGAAGGAAGACCTAAATAAACTTTCTCCCTTACTCACTCTGCCTAATTTCCAGAACTGAACCAGAAAGCTGGGCAAGCGTGTTGTTGCTATTTCTTTGTTTTTTTCCGCTAAACAATTCTACATGACAAGCTTTGAGAAGCTCATCTAGATGGTGTCACCTAGCAGAAGCAGTGATGGACTGGGAGTCCAGAGACCTCTATTTGGGCCCAAACTGATATATATTGGCTGGCTGTGTGACCAGGGCAAGCTGCTTTACCAACTCTGCCTCAGTTTCTAGCTGGAAAATTGGGGGTAGAAAGGCGATGAGCACCCTGATAGGCTTGTGAGGATAGTTTAAGGACCAAATGAATAGGGCACTTGACTACGTATGCTTTATAAGCTGTAACACATGCAAATTTAACTTTTTTCACTTTCCTCCAATGTATAAACTTGTGGTTCTCTCTCCTGCTTGCCAATGTCCAGCCAACTCAGCTCCATGACGAGGCAGCCCCACCTGCGACTTCTTTTCCTCAGATTTTCACCTCAGCTCCTCTTTGCTGTCACCGCCATTAAACAACTTCTAACATTGTGGCAACTGCTGCCACTTACTCCACTCTACAAATCAGCCAGCACCCTGCACCATCATGGTTAGAGCCTCTCCTATGTAACCATTTTACTTTCTTAAACAATGTTCTATCAACATTAGGAGGCGTTACAAAAAAGAATCCTACTGCTCTACTTTTTGGGACCTTGTCCTTCTTTTAATGGTGAAATGAGAGTGCGCAGTCTGCTTGGAGCACTTCAACATTCAGTTACCTGCAGGATTCCATATGACTACAGTCTGATCATTTCTCATGACCGCACAATAGTCCACTGAGGGTATCCTCCTCAGTTTTCTTAACCAGTGCTCAAACTGTTCAACCATTATTGTGCTTATTTTGTAAAGTGCTTTAGAAACTTTCTAAACCCTTTCTGTCCTTATCCATTATCTATTTTGAGCCTTGCAACAGTCCTACGGGCTTGGCTAGACAGGGATAGCTAATGTTTGTGTGCAAGGAGGGCGCAGGGAAGGTGAATCCCAGGAGAGAGAAAGGACTTGCCTCGGGGAGGAAAGAACCACTTAAGTTTTCCACCTGTCGGCCCCATCAGCCCTGACTTACGCAGGAGCAGAGAGGAAGAAAGCCAAACCCAGCTTTGCTGTAGCTGTCAAGCAGTGATCTCGGGGCTGACCCTCCTGGATGTTTAGGAAAAACAGACTCAGGTTCTGATATTGTCTCCAACTATCTGCTTTCTGGGAGTTGGTCACTGGGCTCTTTGGGGCTATTTTCTCAGCCCTAGGATAGGACTGATATTTGCTCTGTCTCATTCACAGGGTGGTAAGGACCAAACTCGAATAAAACATCATCTAAACAAGATAAGCAGGAACCAGAGCCATGTTCCAGGGGTCTGCTGCCCTCTCTCACTGTGCCCATTTCACATTACTCCTTTATGTTTAGTGGAGAAGCCCCTTGAAATATACCTGAATTTCCTGTTTGGGGGTGAAAAGGTTCTTGGACAGGACAGTCGATGGAACATCTTCTTCAGGGAACTTGATGACAACATCAGCCTAAAAAAAAATAAATAAATAAGGACAGTTTTTAAAGGCACAGGGGCAGAGAAGAAAGTGAGACTCATCGGCAGGATAGTACCCCCTAACTCACATCCAGGACCATCACTGAAAAAACCTCCAAGCAGTCCAATCACTTCCGATCCATTAGTTGACAAATGGAGGCAGTAAAAATTTCAAGAACAAAATAAGTATTTGTTGAAAACGCTTTTTAGAGCAAGGGTTCCAATTCTCTACTGGTCTGGTAAGCCCCACAGAGCTGCTTAATACAAAAATCTCAGCTGGTACTCAGGCTGTTACAGCTGCAATCAGAAAATGCTCGGTGTCCCTGGGAAGTGTGATTTAGTCAACAACAGGAAAAAAAGAAATGAAAATGCGCTCTCATACAAAAAGCAGCCCAAAGTCCAGGAGAAGAAAAGGAGCTTTGAAAACAACACAAGAAACGCAGCTGCTCCTTTGTCTTGCAAAGGGAGCCAGCCCCCATTCAAGGCCTGCGATTTGGCCTCTGCCACCTTTCTAGCCTCATCGCCTACTGCCCCCCTACCAGCTTCAGGTGCTCCAGCAAAACGGACCCACTACGTCGCACTTGAAAGCACCTTAAGATTTTCTGGAGGCTGTTCCCCAGTGATCATCCCACAGCCCCACATACTCTTCTGAAAAACCCTTGCAATTCTTCAACTCCTAGCTCAAACACCACGTCTTTCAAGAAGTTTTCTCTCATCACACCAATCAAAAGTGAGCTACACAGGGAAAAAGCACTATGGAAACTATTAACATCCTAAGCAGTTGTTGGTTATTAGTTTATTAGCATTTTGCATATTCTACAACTCACTGTCCCACACTGTCCTGTATTGTTATTGGAGTTCAATCTTACCCTCATCCCAGCCCCACACCGTATAGAAGCACGTAAGGGCTTTAATCTCTTACATCTAAGTACTCCCCCTCCCCCGCCCTAGTGCTTTGGTGTAACATCATAACCTCCTTCCACTATAACTTTTACAGAAATTTTCTAGACTCCACGAGGGCAAATGTATATTTCATCCGTTCACTCAATCTCTATTTATTATGCACCTACTAGGTGCCAGGCCATGTGCATGCCCCTAACGACCATTAATGCCACAGCACACAGGCCCTCGCCTCACAATGCGTACTTATTGCCCTGTGGGTGGCACAGGCAAGGCTAGGGTAAAGAGCCCATGTCCCTGAAAAGGAGCTGTCTGTGTCTGACTGTGGCACAGCCACTCCTGCCTGGATCAAGGTACATTTAGGCACATACCACATTCCAAAGAATTGGGTTCTTCAAAGTGGCATCTCCAATGATCAAGTAAAGAGTGTAGGTGCCGGACGCGGAGTCAAATTCGATCTTTCTCTCGGAAGTATCCAGTTCAAACTTGTACACGTTCTTGCTGTCTGGTTCAGCAACAAACACCACTTCCTGGCCAGTCTTCTGGTTATGGAGTCGGACAAATGTCTGGATGGACCAATAAGACAACCTTTCAGCTGTTAATTTCAAAACTCCCTCTGGGCCCAATATCAAATCAATGAGGCAGCAGGCTCTTGGCTCTTCTGTCACAGTGGGAGATCTGGGATGTGCCAGACCTGCCCGAGAGCAGGAGTAGCCATTCCACTCTGGCTGCTAGCTCAGGGAGCAGAGATAACTTTTTGCCAGCGTAAGAAATTTAACATAGGGATCCAGCCAATTTTCGACTATTTGGAGGCTGAATGCCCAGTTTGTGGATGATTTAAGCCCTTGCTGTTGCTGCAATTTCTTCTTCCTGCCAGCCTTTCGGCCACTTCGCTGCCCAATTAACTTCTTCACTAGAGGGTGAAAAGAAGGGAAATGAGGTGGAACTGTAAGAGGTCCATTTTCAATTTCCTAGTGCCTCCAGGTAAAGATTTAGTAGAGGAGGCTTGGGGATTGATGGCAAAGGAGAGTTCTAATCGAGCAGAGCAAGCAGTCTGGTGTCACCAAGACAGCCCAGTCTCTAGAGACAGTTTTGGTTCTACTACTTATTAGCTGAGCAGGTTACTAAACCTCCTTATGCCTTGATTTCTTGAGCTTTAAGATAAAAAGATTAACTTCTACACGTGGTACCTCAATTCACGATAATGTATGCAAAGCATTTAGTGCAGGACCTGGTATATGCTAGCTAGTCAACAAATAGTAGCTGATATTATTATTAACATGATACCAGTCTAATTATCTTATCTGCTCAATGGTCTAAGAAACTAAGGCTTCTGAAACTGGTAGTTACTAAATAGTCACAGGGATGTAATGTACAGCATGTGGGATATAGTCAATAATATTGTAATAACTACGTATGGTGTCAGATGGGTACTAGGTTTATCAGGGTGATCACTTCATAAGTTACATAAATGTCTAATCACTATGTTGTACACCTGAAGCTAATATAATAGTGTATGTCAACTGTCATTGAAAAAGAAAACCTAATTTTAAAAAAACCCTAAGGTTTCTGCACATTAGAATTACAGCAAAACTTAACATCCACCCAGAGCTTTTCTTTCAAAATAAAGAATTCACCAAGGCAGGTAAATTGGTTTCATTTTACAGATCAGAAGGCATGTGGATTAAATGGGTTCCATGGTCACACAGCTAGCACTGAATCCACAGAAAAAATATAAATCTCATTTGTTACTCTACACCTGGGCAACAAAGAACACCCATCAAAGTATTTAGGGAAAGGGGACTGGAGCTGCGAAGCATCTCCACTACAGCAGTCTTGACCAAAGACGGGGTTTGGAGCCCGGGTGCCTGATCTTCCTTCGGTCACAGCCAAGCACAGGCAGCGGCCTAGCTCATCTGCAAAATGCCGTGTCTACCTGTGAGGTCACTAAGCCATGGTTTCCCAAACAGAATCCTGGAGGAGACAAACAGCCAGTGAAAGTTACATTTCCTCGCTAACGCTCCCTGCCCTAGACCTAACCTCACCAGTTTAGTCTAATTTCTTCTCCTCGTAGTCTTTCTTGCTTTGGGCTGTCTGGTTGGAGAATGGCATTCTAAGTATGAGCTGGGACGTGCTAAGAGGTTGAAGAGCTTAAAGGTGGTTAGCCTTGGCCCTGCCCAAGTGCACTGACCCAGCTCTCTGGAACTTGGGGGTAGAGGAGAAAGAATAATGGAGAGGTGGTGGAAAGGTGGCCCTGGGGCAGCTGTTCTGGGGCCTGCACACAAGTGCAGCGCCTGAAGCTACAAGAAACAGAAAGCAAAAGGTTTTCAAGCAAATTCACTTACCATAGTGCTCTGAAGCTGCCCCTCGGTGTGGACACAAGTCTGTTAGCTCTTGCTAAAGAATCACTACAAAACACCTACACTGAGGCCAGGAGGGCCCACATTCTTTCCTGTCTCTAAGCATTCCAAGCATTTATCTGAACTCCCTTTATAATAAATACAACCATGGGTGGGGCAGGGCCTGGGCGCAGTTATTCTCAATCGAGGGGGGTGACAGAGGTGGAGGAGGTGCCTGAGAAGACCAGGGACCATATCAGGTTTTGGTTTGAAAATCTTTTTTTTAAGATTTTTATTGGGGAATTGGAACAGTGCTGGGGAATTGGGGGAAGGGGAACAGACAAGTTGCTGTTCTTTTATTCTTCAGTCTAGTTGTGGAGGACGTTGCTTCACTGGCTTAAGTTGGCACCATCATTGCGCTCTTCCCGGGCGAGGCAGATTAGTCGCCGGCTTCTGGACCGCCGTTTACTGCGGCTGCTGGCCGCTCATGCTGGCTGCTGGCTACACACGGTAGCCCATGGCAACCCACTGCAGCAGAGGCTGCAGGCTACGCCGTCACTGGCCCATGTGGGATCCAAGCCAGCAGCCCTGCTGCTCAGAGCTCATGCTCCCAAGCCAACTCTTAACCAATGCGCCACTCGGCCGGCCCTGAAAATCTTTTAAATAATAATCATCATTACTTTATATATGGGGGGGAAAATGAAGCCTATTGCTATTATAATACGAAGTAGGCGCAAGTTAAAAAGGGCTATTCTTCAGATTCCCACATACAGAAAATCAGCTTTAGCCAGAAGAAAAACATACTTTGGGCCCATTGCCTAGGTTTTCCTTTTTTTCAAATTATTTTAATATATATATATTTTTTGTTATAAGGAAAAAAGCCTCAATTAAGTGCTAATCTGCCTTAAATATCTTTTCAATACCACCTAATCTTTAAAAAAAAAAGAAAAAAGAATGTATTCCTGGTTTAGGGTTACAACCAGTATGAGAGGGGGCAGAGTGTCATGTGGGAGAACCTGGGGAAAATCAGGGTTCAGAGTGAAGATCGGAAAGCAGGAATTCAAAATTTTCTGTAGTCAATGTCATACACACGTCAACAACTCTAGTGTACATTAATGTTTCAGGCCAAGAGAACTGTCTGGGCTTTTTGCTGACCTGGTGAGGGGTGAGTTCAGCCCCGGTGTTTGCATCTACCAGCTGGAAGAACAAAGCAAAGTTCTGGTGGCTGTCCGCGACGAACGTGCCCTTGGCCTTGGCTGGGTAGGTCACCCTGAAAGAGACATTTATAGAGTAAACCTTCCGAGAGGATCTGCAAGTAAAGAATACAAACTTCACTTCACTGTCTAATCTCCCTCTCCCATAGTAACACTTTTCTGATCTGGAAAGGCAGACATGGAGAATTAATTGTCTGTGGCCTGAAGGCAAACTGGACTGATGAAGCCAGGACTGAGAAAAGCGCAGAATACATTTTTATCAGGGTCTGGGGGAAGTATTAGTGCAGATACTCCAGGCTCTAACTTCAAGTACTTCAGGATGTCAGCTCTACCAAGCCAGGCACCAGTGGGGCTCCCGTGTCCCACTGCAGGCACACAGGTGGGCTGGCAAAACCACAAGGAGAAATAACCACAGGAGCGGTGGTTGCAGCATGTGTGAGCAAGGTCGGGAGACGACGGGGTAGGAGATTCAAAGGAAAAAGGGGTATGTATAGTTTATTTTTCTTTTTTAATGCTGTATTTTTTCCTGGACACTGTTTCAACTTATTTTTCTGCCTGAAAGTGGGTTTTAAAAAGCCATTTTCTCAAAAGGCAGACTTGATGAGAGAACTGTTCTTTTCACAGCTATTTCCTGGGATTTTAGGTTAAGATGGCCAAGGGGTAAAACAAGCTAAATGGTTCTAGAGCTCACACCTGGCTATATTTTATACTGATGCTTCTTATTTACTTATGAGTAACACAGCTCTTCATCTGTATAGAACAGTAAACTTTGCAAAGCACTCTCACAGACATCATTTCAGGGGACTCCCAACAGTGCTCTCATCTCCAAAGTCACTATGAAAATATCCAAGCCACAGGCAGAAGGCCCAGCCTTTTCACAGGACTTAAAAGGAGTGAGTGCTTCACTTCCAGGCTCTGGCTAACACCCACTTTCTTCAAACAGACCTTGAAGGGTCGTTTTACTTTCTTTGGTATCTATAACAACCCCAGCTGAGTAAAGCTGGGCTATGATGATACCCAAAGGTATAGATGGGCCCCCCAAAATAAGAATCTGGGAGCAGGCTGACAAGTGGGCTTCATATAGTGTTCTGGCCCAACTTCGATCAATTGCTGATGGTTACTTAGAAGGTTGTGTTAAAAAATTCTGAGTTCATCAGGAACAACCACTATGACTGATGAGTGATGCCTTCCATGGACTTGAGAAAGGGAATTGTAGCCTAATGCTAGGTATCTGCCATCTCAGTTCTAAGGACCTATGAAGCGTCCAACGTTTTTCAGACCCACTGTGGGCCAAAAAGAATTGCCATGAGGCCACTAAAAGCAAATTCAGGACTGTGAAAATAGAGATTATACCAGAATATAAATTAATACACTGCTTCCTTCATTGAGAAAGTTTTGATAATGTGCTTGATGACATAGCTGACTGACTCGAAGGCAATATGTATGTCGCTGTGGACTTGGTAACACAGTCTGCTCAAGGACTGACCACCGGTAGAGACAACCCCCAAATCTTCTTGGATGCCAAGTGGCATCACTGGTGCCATGCCAGTGGAACTACAGCCTCTTGAATTCGGAGTCCAAGCTGGATCACTGCTGACACAGAAATGATACCTGACACCACCACCCCCCACCCCGCCCTCCCCCGCGCACAGGAGGCATCCCACCTACCGGGTGGTTTTGGGTGCAATGCTCTGATCCTTATCCACAGTGGAGAGATCGACATTTGTGATGCCAACTTCAGTGGAGATCTTGACTCGGAGCTAGAGTGAAACACAGAGGAAAACCACCAGCACAAGTGGTGGATATGTCAAGAATTAATATGCACATCTAAATTTTTCTCTTAAAGGTTGAGTAAAGGCATGAAACAAATCCTAGGAAGGAGTCTTCAATGATTTCAGTAAAACTGACCCAGCCAGGTAGTATTTCCAACTCTCCCCTCCTGAGGCCGAAAAGTAACTCTATTTCTTATTACTTCTTTCCTTCTTTGGCTTTGGCTGGGTGGTATATATTTAAAAAGAAAAAAAGAAAGAAAAAGCGGATTTTTTCATGAGTTCTTTAAAATAAATAGGGGAAAAATCCGTCCGCAGTAACCTTCAAATAATTTAAATCAACAAGTACTAAATTCTAATGATAGTGAATGTTTATTGGGTGTTTACTATGTGAAAGACAGGCTTTATGAAGACTACCTCATTTAATCCCCACAACAACTCTGCAAGGTAGTGCTATTTCAGATGACAAAATGAGAGTATAGAGATGAAGCCAGTGCCTCAAGTTTAGATAGCTAGTAAGTGACAGAGCCAGTGCTCAAACTCAGGCATTCTGACGCAGAGTCCATGTCCTTAGGCAGCTTGCTTTCCAGCTGCCCAGCAACACCTACTCCGTGCCAAGCTGATCAAGTCTGCCCATGAAGACCTAAGAAGCTAAGGCAGTCATCTGTACCGTTCTCCTTCTGAGCATGCAGTAGAACTGTATTTCCCTGCCCACCTGGAATCAGGTGTGGCCAAGGAAATGTGAGCAGGTGTGAAGGGTGTCACTTCCAAGGGGAAGCTTTTAAGAGTCTGTGTATGGTTCTCCTTTCCTTTGACACGGACACAAACAATATGCAGAGAGAGAGGCTTGGGTCGTGAGTAAGGACAACCTTTAAAGCATAGCTTCCAGGTAACACACTAAAGATACCTAGTGTGGGCAAAAAGAAATTCATTTTAAGCCACTGAGAGTTGAAGTTTATTATAAGTATAAACCAGTTCAAACTTGATTCTTACAGTGTTTGAATTCTATACATTCCTTATAAACATTTTCACAAAGAGGAGCTAGTCATTGCCAATAAACACATTTTTAAAAATTAGATTAAAATAAGTGTAAAATGCCAAAAGAGAAGAAAACGTGCTAGAAGTCTATTAATGGGAAAATTTTTATTTAAAATCTAAGTTTGATGTGCAAATTATGCAAACCCAAGGCACTTTTTATGTGCAAACATCTGCGAGGCTTCCAAATATTTGATAAGCTTGAATGTAATACTTAAGGAAATCCTTGCTAAATCCACTGGTTTATAGTCTAAATCAGGATCAAGGAAGAGAGATAGAGGGCTGGGCAAATAAATGAAGGACAGATTCGGCATTTTTCTAAAATGCACTATCAAGGTGTGACAGCCTCAAGTCAAGGGCAAAGAAGAAAAATTAAAAAGCGATAAAGATAGCTATCAAGTAATTCCTTTTAATAACAGCCTTCTCTTCTGTTTCCAAAATAACTCTTTTATGACAACAGTCTCAATTATCAGGTTGAATAGGGGTGTCCTATTTTGCTTAAAAATAAAACAACTTGAATGTAAAAAATTTATAAGCAGAAGCTATAAGGATGTGATTATCTCACACTTTTGAATACACAGCCACCTATTGGCAGAATATTTGGTATCATTGCTTGTCACTGAGTCTAGGCGACTGGGTGAATTATGGCGGTGGGGGAGGGGAAAGACAGCCCTCAAGTTGAATACCGCCCCGCCCCCCACCACTCTCTCCCAAGGAGAGAGTGGTGGGGGGCGGGGCGGTGTCTCAACTTTGGCTCTTTGGGTTCCCTGCTGAGCAAACAGCTTCACAGCTCTTACAGGGCTTAGAACCAGAGCCAGCTATGCTGTATAAAGCTCAACCCAGAGAGGCACTGACACCACTTCCATCTGAAGACAAACTGGAATGGAAGGTTCAAGCAAGCAGTAGCTAAAGAGCTTTGATCAGGTTACTGACTTTTAGCAAGACACGCCACTGAGACCACTTTCTCTACACCCACTGGAGCACCTGGAGCAACTAGGTCCAGGGGATATACAGGGATGGCAAGATGTACTTCCTGTTCTAAAGGGAAGCATATATGCAAAGTTAAATTATAAGAAACCAGGCTGCTGCTTTAATGGAGGGGTGTATAAAGTGTTACAAAAGCACAGAGCTGTGACCCAACTTGGCCTGTGGGGATCCCTTGGCTGGGGAGTGGGAAATGTGTAGCAGGAAGGCTTCGGCCAGCGGTTCTCAACCTTCCTAATGCCGCGACCCCTTAATACAGTTCCTCATGTTGTGGTGACCCCCAACCATAAAATTATTTTCGTTGCTACTCTATAACTGTAATTTTGCTACTGTTATGAATTGTAATGTAAGTATCTTTTTGTTTTCCGATGGTCTTAGGCGACCCCTGTGAAAGGGTCGTTCGACCCCCAAAGGGGTCGCGCCCCACAGGTTGAGAACCGCTGGCTTAGGCAGTCCTCCAGTTTTAGGAGAGGTAGGAGTTTAGCAATACTCCATGCTGTTAAAAAAAAAAAAATCTGTCTTCATAGTTAATTCTTCTGCAATCTTTATCAACATTAACCAGATAATTTCCTTCTTTATTTCTGTGACTCATTCTCTTAAGGATTCACTTAATTTGTAAATGTGATCTGGAAATCATCGCCCCATCTAAATGTCCATAAACAGACTAGTTGAATAAATAATGGTACATGTGCACTAAGAATTACTACGGAGCAATTAAAAAGAACAAAGTAGGTGTCTGCGGACAGATACAGAGATATTACCTCCTACTTTTGAAAACACAGCCATGAATATTTAACATCACTGTCTGTCATTGAGCTAACCGTGTGTGTGTGTGTGTGTGTGTGTGTGTGTGTGTGTGTGCGCGCGCGTGCGCGCACACGCGTGTGCACCTCCTCAAGAAGACCATCAGGTTGAATAGACCCCCAAGGGGAAATCTAGAAGCCTCTTCTTTGTGACAAAACCAAAGGAAGCAAGGAATACAACTGCTTATAGAATGATCCCCTTTGTCTAAATAAAGCTATGCATCCACTTATTGATACTGTGCATCCTTCTTTTTCTTAAAATTCACACAGTTAATTGTTAATGATGGATTCCCTTTGAGGAGAGGAACTGAATTGAAGGGTGCAGAGAGAAGGCTCTTATATTTCATTACGTATCTTTTTGTACCTTGAATTTTTTTTTTTTTTAAAGATTTTATTGGGGAATTGCGGGGAGGGGAACAGCGTTGGGGAATCAGGGAAGAGGAACAGATAGGTAGACAAATTGCTGTTTTTGTTCTTTAGTCTAGTTGTGGAGGACTGCGCTTCACTGGCCCATGTTGGTATGATCACTGAGCTCTTCCCAGATGAGGCAGATCAGTCACCGGTCATTGGTCAGCCGCTCCCAGCGGCTCCCAGCAGCTCACACCGGCTGCCGGCTGCTCACGCTGGCTACCAGCCACTCATGTAGCTCATGGCAGCCCACTGCAGCCCTGCTGCAGCCTACACCATCGCTGGCGACTCACAGCAGCCCAGCTCCAGGTCAAGCTGTTGTTCATCATCTGAGCTGTAGAGGGCCAGCGTCACTGGCCCTCAATGTGGGATCCAAACAGCAGCCCTGCTGCTCAGAGCTGGCGCTCCCAAGCGAGCTCTTAACCAGCTGAGCCACTCGGCCGGCCCCCTTGAATTTTTTTTAACTACAATTTTACTCCTATTTTTTTTTCAAAACAGGGATTATCTGAGCAATGAGATTGTGTGCCATATATTTCCTTCTTTATAAATGTTTTTGTATTAAAAAGTACCCAATAAATATGATTTTAAAAATAATTACTCTCCCTTTCAGCAGATAGATATATACAAATAATGTTTAAAGACATGTGTAAGGGGGCCGGCCTAGTGTCTCAGTTGGCAAGCTCTGAACAGCAGGGCCGCCGGTTCGGATCCCACATGGGCCAGTGATACTGCGCCCTCTACAGCTAAGACGGTGAACAACAGCTCGACCTGGAGCTGGGCTGTTGTGAGTCGCCGGCGATGGTGTAGGCTGCAGTAAGCTACCGTGAGTGGCCAGCAGCCAGCGTGAGCCGCCATCCAATGGACAGCGACCGATCTGCCTTAGCCGGGAAGAGCACAATGATCACAATACCAGCATGGGCCAGTGAAGTGACGTCCTCCACAACTAGACTGAAGAACAAAAGGGCAGCAACTTGTCTGTTCCCCTTCCCCCATTTCCCAACGCTGTTCCCTCCCCCAAATCCCCAATAAAATCTTAAAAAAATAACATAAAGACTTGTGTAAGGCTCCTCAATGTATCCTGATTATAGTGATAAGGAAGCCATCAACTTTCAGGTTTTTTTGTAGAATCCTGACTATAAACTTGCCACAATAACATCGTCACTAAGCCCTACTCATCAAGATTCAATTGTGCATTTGTTCTAAAACACCGTAAGCATTCCCAGACACTACAGAAACATGGAATGACAAAAGGGCAAATGGCAGTGAACTCACGTCATTTTGAGTTTGCTCTCAGCCCTAGTTTTAAAGGGCCCCCTAAGTTACAGCTTTATTGCACGGAAACACTGTAGGGCTATTCTTAAATAGGGAACACTTTAAAACAAGTCCTTCTGCTCCTGAAATCTTACTACAAATGGGCCTCTGTCAACATTTAAAAGAAAAACATTTTTATGCTCCTCTTTTAAAAACTAAGAAATAAAAATCAGCGTAATTTTCTTCAAAGCCCTGTTGTAAAGAGTTCAGAGTAGGCTTCCTGTTGGTTAGCTGTGTCTTCCTTTAAACCAACACTGCAGGATTAGTTTTTATAGTAGAGAAGGGACTGGTTTAGCCACTTTACATGCAGCTAAGCCTGTTTTACAGTGAATCACACTAGTGCTTTTTTGGCCTGTGCTGCATGCCACGTACACCTCAAAAAATGTTTTAACACCAGGAAATGCAGTCTTTGTGCTGAGAGTAATAACCCCCCTGTTTAGCTCATTACTG